GGCACATGCCCACTGAAAACAAACATTTTATTCACTAACAGTCCAACCTGAGATATTTTGTGTCCTACAGACAAAAGCCTTACATTAAATATCTCAGAAGCTGCAAAAGAAGTTTTCAGAGAATTAGAAGTTTGCCTTTAACTCATCTAAAACCAGAACAACTATTAAACTTTCATAAGCCAAAGAAGGTGCAAGCAAAAAAATCCTGATGCTCACAGGCTGAGGGGAAACCTAACATATGGAAACCCTTCAGGTTCCTCCATACTCATAAATGCCATTTGATGGGGCGGAGAACTTAGAGCAAGATAGAGGACCTTAAAGATGAGACAATCCCCAAAATTGCAAACACACAAGGCATTAATTTGCTACGATCGAATACAGGAGAACAAGTGTGTTGGCAGGACAACTCCAGCTCATAAGGTTGGGTTCTGGCTGTCCTGATACTAAATATTTATCCGATTTGCATCGACCTGCATGTTTTACTGCTAAATAATCCACCCTTCACCTGCGGGCACGACCCCAAAACGCCCATTTTGTTTGGTCACTGCAAGGAGACAGAGCAGCTCCCGCAGGAGCTGCGGGCACCGTGACCATGCCAAATGCTGCCGTCTGTGTAAACTCCAGCTTACCCTCGTCTGGAAGACAGCGGAGTGCTTGTTTATCCAAGGAGGGTTCCTAAATTTTTAACAGCTCTGAGAGTCACTTTAGTGACTGAGAGTCAATTTAGTCACCCTAGAACATCAAAATCTGGTAAAAGGTGAAGACTCCAAAGGTCCTCCTGACGGTGCTGCTACCGCAGGTGGATTCAAGGAGAGAAGGGAGGCCGTTCTCCTTCCTTTTGGGCCTGGTGCTCATCACGACAGGATCCGTGTGACTCCCTGGCTTGGCCATAACGCTACAGAGGCCATACATAGGTCTGGACAACACACCGGCAACTCAACGTGGACCCCGAATTCCACTCGCTGCTTTAACACCGAGCCCATCCTTCCTGCCCATTAAAACCTCACTTTGAAGTGACCACCACCCCAAGAGTTGAAGTCAAGGSCAAAACCCAGTGAGTCCTTCACAGGTGCCAGTCCCTGCTCCTAGACAGCAGTACCCATAAGATCAAGCCCTAAAGGCACAGCAATATTAAGCGTTCCTAGAGCTGTTCTTGTGTTCCACTTACCGTATTTACTATGTCTCTTACTTTAGGTAACTAACTTGAGTGAAGATACTCGGTCCCGCCTGCTTCCTTTCCAAGGGGCTATCAGTCACATCCAACCACATCATTTTATCTCCCAGTTACTAAATTCAAACCATTTTAAACATCCTGCTTTCATCTTCACGGCCCTCTCCCACTTGTTAACCGCGCTGCCGCTGCACAAGAATGTCCTTGACATATAAAAYGTGCCTGTGATTCTCTCAACGTTTTAATGCGGTGTATTGTGGTGTAAACACTTCTTCATGTTTTATCTCCTTCCCCATAAATCAGAGGCCACTATCTCAGAAGTCTCCAAAATGACATGTTTTCTCTGTAATATAAATGTAAGACTCCACCACTTGAAACTTGAGTCATCTCTCAGAAATCATCAAAAACCAGACCTGAGAAGCAGCAGAACATTATCAACTATCTTTCACTCCTTTTTCCTGACAGTACGTGCATAGTATGGGAGCAAAATTAGGAAAGTTAGGTGTTCATGAGGCTTTCAGAAAACCTATATTTTGCTTATTCTTTTTTTTTTTTTTTTTTTTTAATTTCTAGGGAATAACAATGAGGTTAAATACCTTATTTCGTGTCCAACCCACCACACAACACTGAGAGGGTCACGGAAGTGGACACTGTAAGAAAGTGGTCGAATAGGAATAATGCTGCTTTTGCTCATGGTTAATATGCAGTGTTTACGGGGCTCTGAATTCCAAACGTTATTCCCCTTTTCTTACCATAACTGCAGTTAGTAACACTGATCTTACAAGGTTTTCCAATGTGTTTGGCTGCTTTAGTTGCTCAGTCTATTCCTCAGTAAATGCATGAGGTGATTATTTTAAAAAGCGAAAGACACTGTAAAACAYGGGTCATTTTGCAAAAAAATAGAAACACCAGGCACAGAAAACACCTAAAATACTTGAAAGTGATGTCGATGCTTGAAAAAATGAAAGAGCTCTTAAAGGAAAAAATAAATAACTGAATAAAGAGGAGGAAGAGGAAGGCAGTTCTGGGAGGCGGGCGCAAGGACAGAGCGAGGGTTGCTCCCTCCTCATCTACATCCCACGTGCCGTGGGAGAGCCCCCGGATCCTCCCTCGTGAGACACAATTCCTAACATTTTCCACAGATGCAGGCAGTCCTGGGGCTGCCACACAATTGCCTGGCACGCACCATTCCAACTGCTTCCCAGGATACCTTCCACCCAAACATTTCTGGGTGGCTTCACTGCAGAGCACTGCAGGCTGCCCTAAAGCAATCCCCAGCGTAGGCAGCTCTTGACTGTATTTTTCAGCCTATTTTCACACACAACTTCTTCAATGTCTTCCTCTTCATTTCTTCAAAAGAAAAAAAATTACCCAAATTACCAGCTTATTAATAAAATTGCTATCCAATTCCACTGAATTGTCATAATAATAAATTATTTCTTCTTGTATTAGAAATTATAGCTAGAATTTATGGGTTGTGAGGGGGTCTTGTTTGTAAATACGTGCCTTTGGTCAACTGATATCCAAATTGCACTTCTATAAACAATGGAAAATCACAGTGTTGCCAAGTCCCATCACTTTTTACTACTGCTTTTTTTTCATTAAGTGCACGTGGGATGAAAAACTCCCCCTTGGTAAATTTTCRTGGCATTTCTAGCCCGTACATTTAGGAAAAAAAATAAATATTTGAAGTATGACATAAGGCAGTCTAGAATCAACAGGGCAAGTAATAATTAAGAGATTATTTTTAACCAATTTTCTATGGAAAAAAAAATACATCCCTTCTCGGTCTGCGTGGGTTACTTAGTATATTCCTGGCTCCCTCCCCAGTAGTTTTGGGCAAGTTAGCTGTTTCTGACTCCACTTGACAGGCCCAAGCTGGCCTTAGTTCCTACCAGATAGTTATTACGAGGGCAAAAAAATCCCACAGAATCTGAATAATTAAAAGTTGGTATTAATACTGCCATGAATATCATGCAGTCTCCACACAATTTTCACGAAATGCAAGTTTTTCATATCCTGTTTTAAATCATGTAGAGGAATCCGGCACCATCAACACTCTGCATTCCCACGGCACAGCTGGGGACTGCAAGTTGGGAGCAGAGATTTATCAGGGAAACGAGGAGTGGGAAAGACCCATGGCCCCCAAAGATGCCCAGATTTATAGCAACATAGGAAGCGGAAAGATGGTTATCACATGAAAAGGTCCTTAAGGGAGAGCGGGGAACAACAAGGGAAACATGAGTCATGAGCTGTCGGGGAGGAGGATGCGTGTTGGGAGCAAGGGGCAGCGCAGAGGGGCACGGAAGGGAAGTTCCAAGCCCAGGAGCTGCCTCCCCAAGGCCGAGTCGCATGCAGCAGCTTTCATACTTACCCAAACTCCCATTCCCAGCCAAATTCCCMACCTGACACTCCAGTGTCACTCCAGTTGCCACCTCTGGTGCCAGTGGCACCAGGAGCAACACCGGTAAAGGACAACCCACCGCACTCCTGACCTTCCCACCCCAGCAAACCTCAGTAGCAAATTACACCACAGACCCCTGGTACCCCCAAAGCACTCCTAGAGTTTTAAAAATATTTGCAAAGCGGCTTCTTTTGAGGAGAAAAATAAAACAACGGAGAATACATACAAGTGAAACACAAGCAAAACAGCTGCCTGTGCATTAGCATCATTTCTGGAAAGCTGTCTCAGAAGCTCAAGAAAGAAGAGTTGCACAAGAGTCYGTACACAAGAAACAATTCTCTTTTTAGTCCAGGAGTATGCAGTTCAAAAGGCAAACTAAATATGACAGTAAATTATTTCCAAGTATTGTGGGATCTCCAAGTGATTTATATTAGAAAAAACAAACAAACAAGCCCCACTATAGTATGGGGGTAAAAAGGGGAAAGAAAGCATAACAAAAACAAGGAAGTTTCTCCTTAGATAGGGTAGCTTTTCTGCCCAGAAGTTCCTATGTTGTAATACGTACACGAAAACCCAAGTTACACTTCACAAAACCGCACAACTTGGCTCAGATGATTTGCAAAGCCTAAACATCTCCACCTACAGATTTCCAGGCAACCATCTGAATCCCGACACATCCTTCCTATAGAGCAAACAGGCACAAAATTTGGCTGCTGAGCCCGATTTTGAGCTCCATGAGGACACACAGTAAATCCTGCACCCCGCTCAGTGCGAGCGGGACGTGGGCTCAGGGCAGCAGCCTGGACCAGCCCTGCAGCCCCCGCGTGCCCAAGCATCAAAGGGCCGGACTCAACCCAGGTGATCCCAGGGCCTTTTGCCAGAGGGAACCCAAAATCCAGGGCTCCCATCTCAAGGCCACCGCTGGGATGGAGATTTCCAGTACGTTCTGAAGATGCTGCGTGATCCACAATGTGTGGTTTACGTTTCTTTACTCAAACGCAAGATGCGATCCTCACCCAGATCCCAGCGGAGACCTTCAGTGGGCCGCTCAGGGGCCGTTCTTGGACCCAGATGGACTTGAACCCCACCGGCCGCAGGGCGGTCGCAGAACAGAGCCCGTTACTCCCAGGACATAATCACGCAGTTCTGCCCGTGTCATTCCCMGCGACCCACACTTGGTATTTTCAAGACAAACATTATTACTAGAGGCTTAAAACTCCATCAGCTCAGCTCTGAACAAACGCGCTGTGCCCTGGTGCTTGACTGCTGTTGGGAGGTATCTGTTCCCCGCCGTGGCGCYGCCTCCATGGATCCGGGATAACGGCCCCAGCGGACACCAGCGCTCCCTGCATCCCTCGCTGTGCGGGGCCGTGTCCCGGGCACGAGGAAGGCCCCGTGATGGAGGCCCCGCGCGGCGGCACCCACCTGGTTGATGGAGTTGGCGGCGCAGGAAGCCAGGCCGGTTCCGAGTGAGGCGAGGAGGAAACAGGTCAGGTCGAACGGGACGGGGGCCATGGCGAAGCCGGCGGACGCGGTGCTCACGACCAGGGCTGCAAGACAAGCACAGGGCACGGTCACCCCACGCACCCACCGCTGCTTCCCCACACGCAGCGCCAGCTCCACGGGGCCAAACCCGCGGCGACATCAGCGCACATCAACGCTTCGCCTCTTCGGATGACCAAATAACCCGAGAGCGGCGCACGATTAATGCTAAGACTCTGTACCCGGAGGACGAGGATGGCAAGGGGTGGCCAGAGAGCAATGGGAAATCCGGGAGCATCGGTTTTCCAAACTAGTGGAAAAGAGTTACAGTTTTGTTTCTGCATTCCCGGTCTCACGCATCTGCCGCAGTGAATCCTGCAGCCTCCCGCACACCGTGCCCCTGCTCCGGTGACTCTCGTGCATGGAGGGGAGTCCAGAGCACGGAAGAAAAGCAGCAATAACAAAATCCTGGATCCCGAGTTATACATTAAAGCATGTATTGGAAGGCAAAAAGAACAGCACGAAACAAATGGTTTCTTATACTGCGGAAATCAACCCACTTACAGAGTATCTTGCTCGTGGCCTAAAACTGCAATCTCAAATTAATCCAATTATTAATCAGAAAGAAATGCAAACAATACTTTCCATGTCTAATTTTACACTCCAGATCTCGGCATCAAAGCTAGAGCTTTTCCTGCGAATGAAGATTCTCTTATCTTCCTGCTTCCACAAAAGGCTCCTATTTGTCTGAGGTGAAATGACAAATAAATAACCTTTGCTGCCTGAAGATATGTGGATTACCTACTAAGCAAGGTTAAGAAGATGAAGAATTGCAATGTGAAGGCAGAGACCTGTCAGCAAGGACATACAAGCAAAGGACTAATTTCAAGAGCTGTGCTTGACTAAGAACCTTAGGATTTAATCCTAAAAAGGCAGTGATGAAAACTTTCTGCTCGTCAAAACTTTCCTCTAAGTATTAAAAACCCATCGATGGGGGAATATTTTAATGAACATTAATTACTTCGCCTTGCAGTGGATTCACGTGCTTTGCACCGTGGCTCTCCTTCAGCAAGCTTAAAAGGAGAGGAATCTGTGCTGGAGCCTCCAGGAAACAACCACCGCTTCCCTAAGGACCCGAGAGGCTAAGGGGGACACAGGCACCGAGGCCGGGCCAGTTACAGGAGGCAAAAGGTGGGCTGGAAAAGTCACTGGACCTTCTTGGTAAGGGACACAAGAAAAAAAATGTATTTCTGGGAAATTCACTGGTTTTCAGTTGATAGAGTTAAATATATGTATACACACACACACACGGAGGCTCAACAGATGACAGAGAAGCAGTGGCGTTTGCATTTCTAAGAGTGATTGCATTCATTTTTTGGCCTCATAAATCACACCTTCATTTCTGGACAAGAATTTAATTAAAACTTATCTCAGAGAGCACTTTACCCTAATTTATTATGGGAAAACACCAACTCATTTACTGAAGGAGAAAGGTGGAGCAGCCTGGCAAATGGGCAGCATAGCACTGACCTCCAGAGAAATTCTAATACAGTAGAGCTAGAGCCCTAATTAAAGTCCCCATTGATTTCTCCTGATTAGTTCCAGTCATTTCTGGGCAGCTTCTCAGGCTCTCATTAAAGAAGGCTGCAGAACATCCCATCATTTAGGCAACCAAAACGGGCACTTTTCGCCCWAGATTTGAGCACAAGGGATCCCCGTGAGCCCCCTCTCCAGGTCAGTTCAACCCAATGCACGGGAGAAACTAAGAGAAATTCCCCCTTGGACTGAGAAGTTTATTTTCTTTTACTATGGAAGCAATTATTTACTCTTCTGTTTTCCTCCTGGAGAAGAAGTCTGCTTAATTGAGATGACATCAAGGGAATGAGGTCATGGACCCTGTTTGTTTTTTAATCCCTGTTAGTTTAGTGCTTTAGGGACAAAATTAACTTCACCCCATTGCAGAGTGGATGGATCCTTTCAAGGTCTGTTAGAGAGAGTTGACATTAGAGACGCTCTGCAAAAAAAAGTCAGGATTTAAACTTATGGTCCCAATCTAAGCCTATCTGTATGTCTTCAGGAGATATTTACCTTTAACAGAAATTAAACAGAGGGCATTTGTCTACAATTTCAGTATAAATGAAAAGGAAATGCTAATGGATTGGTGGAGGGGGAGAAGAAAGGGGACTGCAGGCCTTCCTACATAAGAATACGATCAACAGTTCCACAGTCTTCACCACTCTTTGCATTCCTTTTCAGCTTCATGGTAACTGTAAATCTTTATCTATATTGACAGCATTCAAACTGCTAGGCCCTTTGTTTACCTCCCATTAAAAAGCAGTCAGGCCAAAACAAAACAATGGAAACCCAAAGCAAACCAACTTTAGATTTCTGTTCTTCTTCTGTGCTGATGACCACATTAGAACCATACTGACACTTTCAATCAAATAATCTGCAGCCCGACCACCAAGCTCATTAAATAAGGAAGCAGAAGAAGAGCAGAGGCGCTCTGCTTAAATTCAGGACACTACTTCACTGGTCTCCTGCAAAGGTCTAAGTCCTCCTTAAAGGAAAGCAGCTTTCCGAAAGCTCACGCATTAACAGGATTTTCCTCCCTGAGTTTTCACACTTGGCTTTCTGCACAGCTAAGTGCCAGGATGCACGTTATAGCTCTATAGGTCTGACCGTGGCTTTCTTTGCAACCGAGGGTTTGCCTGGGACAGGAATGGCCAGGGCCTGCTGCAGACCTGCAGCCTGCCCACCAAAGGCGGCCGAAAGAGTAATTTGAAAACATATTTTAATATATACTTAATATTTAAGTTCAAAATGAAATACTACAAAGACAGGCTCCTCTGTTAGTTTTAATCTGACACATTTTAAAAGTAAATGCTTGCAAGAAATAAAACATAACGACAGTTTCCTTTTTCAATTCATTCATTTTCCTGGTAGCATGAAAAACAAATTGCCCAAAAGCTACCGTTATAAGGCTTTGTATTTTTGATAGGACCACAGGTACTATTTTAGTAAGTCAATTACTCTTGACTTATTACACTGAAAGCTCTCAATTTCAAACCAAGAACTATTTTCTGACAGGCATATAAAATACATTTATAAGAGGGAATACATGTGGCCTAACAATAACCTAAACAATAAATACGGATTAATCTTTGTTCAAGTTCCTGGATATATTAATGATATTAACCGTTATCACCTTCACTGGAAGATCACTCACGCACAGACACCGACTCAGACACAGGTTTCTACGTAGCGTTGTCCGTATAATCCTTGCACTGGATGGACTCTCTGCAGGCTCCTACCCCAACCTCCRGCTCTGTGTAGGGTCTGCACTGAATTGAGGCCAGGTTTCCTCAAGGYTTTGTCATCTCCGAGGACGGAAGCTTCATAACCTCTCTGGCAACGTGTTGCAAAGAGTTTGACTGTGCTCACAGCACAACCTTTTCCCTTACATCARGCCTGAACCAGCCCTGTTTCAACTTACGAAACACAGTTCGCTGTGCTGGGCTATGTAGTTTAAAAAGGTTCGAGAATCACAGCGTAGATTCCTTCCTACCCTCTTTTTAAGAAAAATCTTGGCAACTTCAGAGAACATCTAAACTTCCCTTTCTGCAGCAAAGCTACGGCTGCTCAGACCGCATCCAAACAGCTCTGCTCAACTGGACACGAGACTGYTCATTAAAAACAAATATCAAATTAATTCAGAGACTCCCCCACAGTACTGCTTATTCCTTGTGCAGTCCTGGACGGTCTCATGACGTGCCCCACACCACGCACGTAGCGTCCGGGTGAGACAGCAACGTGGGGTTTATTCCGAGCTGCTCCCCGAAGACTGGCACAACTATTGAAGATGATGAACAAGGCRCAGGCAGTACCCCAGGTTTGCCTACTTTAGCTGTCTCCTAAGGTACAGACCAGGGCAAACCAGGATAATTTAGGCTCGGCTCTTACTACACGAAGCTAACAGGACACTGGGTTAAACGCTGAGAAACGGATACAACCAAACAACATCTCAGATGCTGGGGGAGAGAAACACAGCAGGACAAGGGCCTCCTTCGAGAAAGCTGCCACGTACCTTAATGGACAGGAAAAGCAGCAGGACACCTGAACTACAGCAAGGGAAGGTTTGGGTCGGACCTGAAGGGAAGTCCTGCAGCAGACTGCCTGGGGAACCCAGAGACCGTCCACTCCGGGCCTCTTCTAAGCACAGACATAGCACAATAAGGGAAAAGCTCAGTTAGGAGGGACCAACCTAAGCTTGGTCTTGCTGTGGGCCTGGACATCCACCTGAAGAGTCACTCGCAGGTCCCTGTCACTGCATGGATACGGCACACGCTGGCCCCGACCACCATCCTCCGTACGGAAGCTGTTCTGTTCAGCAGTAAAAGCAGAATTAATCGTGCTCAAGCACATCCATTATTAAAAGGTGTTTTAGAAAGAAAAAGATAAAATACTACCAGATCTGTAACATGGCTTGGGCAGAGCAGGAAGGTAAAAGTGCTTTGCAACAATATGCCATAAAAGAGGCCATAAAACCTTTGGAAAGGGGAATGCAATTTTGCACATGGGCTCTGTGTAAACAGCAATCGGCTAATGAATAATGATGTTTTCAAAAAGTACTTTTATAGGCACCAATTAACGTTTGTGAAGACAAATGGAAACATTAACTGTGGTGTATTAAAATGCGAGATAAGGGAAAAATAAACGTTCGCGACATAGCGGCTTTAGCATGTCTTTGATCGAGCCCTGCAAGGACATCTGTATTACAGCACAGGACAGCAGGACCCGAGTCAGGCCTCCTGTCTTACAGSCATGGCAGAGACTTGCTAAAGGCCCAGCCGCTTCCCCACGGACCCTGCAATTCCCATTAAAAACACCGTGGCCATTCAGAAATGGCTCAGTTACGTTTCCACACAGGTGGTGACTACATTGTCCCTTCTCGGATACCCGCTACACAGYGTGAGGTACGTTTGGCTGGTCTTCCTCACCACAGGATCCACATGCCACAATGTGCGAGGAGAATATTCCCCGTGTGCCACGCGGCGCCGCCGTGGTGCGTCCCGGCGCGGGAAAGCTCACCTTCCCCTGGCCTTACGTGCACACAGCTCGTCTCAGTTTTATCTGTGATCAGCAGGGAGACRTTACTTACAYGTAAACCTAAAGCTAAATTCAAGAAGATGAAACGGCCTGCAACTCTTAACGATGTGTTTGCGTCGTAAGTTATGAGAYGTACTCCTACTGCCGGATCATCCCWTCTTTTCTCCTTTTCCAGCTATGCATGAACTTTAGGAGAGGGCTGAAAACGGCGAYATTTATAACCCTGAAAACTTATCAGGCAGATGCATTAGCTGCCCCAGCGCCAGGATGTTAAGATGCAGCTGCTCAGAGAGCAGCCAAGAGAGACCAGCGCAGAGGGGCAGAGATGGAAATCGAACCCGAGAAGGTAGATTAGGCAGCAAGGAATTAAAAGTTCCCTAATCATTTTTTATGACAGGAGAATATAAACAAAAGCCCTTTCCTGTTGTGAAGCAGTTTCTCATGGCAGTGGCAGAAGAGCTGCAGTTTACACGAAGCAGGAGGGTATGGTAACGACTCAACTCATTTCCGTCCAAAGGTGACTCGCAGTTCAGAACACAAACAAACACCCTCTTTGCTTCAGCAGCGGGGAAGGAGCAGGGACGCCCCATCCTAACATAATGCACAGCTTGTTTTTCTGTTATTCTATGCTCTAAAAAAGTACAAATAAAGCGTCGGCCAAAAAACCCACACAGGATATGAGAGCCATCAGAGCTTCACGGGTGACATGAATGGAGCTTGCGTGCCATTTGTAAAAACTGCCTGGAGAGAAACTGCTTAAAACCCAGCCACGCCACCGTACTCCTCACAGAACATATTTATATATTTTCTTTCACACAGTTACAGTCCCTGCAAAGAAACTATTTCTATTTCCTTGCTCTRCACACTGTGGCCCAGTGTTTTTGCTGCTCCTGGGACCAAATATCAGAGCTCCCCTCTTGCAAACCACTCTTCAAGCAAGGCTCAACTTACTCCTTTATACTTCTTAATTCCAATAAAGTCTCCTCACCTTGGAGCATCCTCCCCTTCATCTATCTACAGGACACAGGGAGAAAAGAGGTTTTCACTTTTTTTCCCCCCTCCTCRAAAAATTAACTGTTCTTCACCTTAGTGCATTTTTGAAACCCCTCTTCAGACGTAACTGGCACTACCACCGAGTTTATCCCTAACTAAGAGCAGGACATTTAAGGCCGTATGTTTTAAGCGCTTAAAACAACAGCTCGTTCCCTTTTTTTAAGGGGCCATTTAATCATGGCATTTTAACATTTTTATATCCGAACCCATTGAGCTTTTTAATTTAATTCTACTTTAATAACTATCACAGGCTTCAGGCTCACATAAAAGAGCCACTTAAATAAAACCACCTCGTTGAAAAGATGCCAGATATGAACAATGCAGCAGGACTGCTCACCCAGCGCTAGGTTTATGCGTGAAGGGCACTAGAGAAACAAACTGTTTTTGTCTTTTTGGAGTTTGAGTTCAAAAACTCTGATGGCTGCTGAAAATGCCAGTGATAAAAGTTTTATACTCCTAAATCTGAGCTTCTCTAAAACAATAAGGAGGAATATTTGGACATCTAGACRAGCTCAGCTCTGCTACACCTGAGACATGAGATTTCTCACCTGCACTGAAAACTATGGGGCTTTCTTAGAGAACAAGAGCACCATCGCCCACCAAATGTCTCCAAAACGATTTTTTGCTACGGCAACATAAATACTGCAAGACAAGAAGCTTCAAAAGGAAACCAGACAATTCAGGATTTTTATTTGATGACATATAACAAACAGTTAGGGCAAAGAACAGTTTTACTATCATGAATCTCTTTTGCCCCCTGAAGAGAGCACCAGAGCTGGGACTTCGGATGCTGGGTTTCTAGCTCTTGCCCTGATACGGGACAGACACAAGGTCTCTGTGATACCGTTACAAATTTGGTAATATTCCTGCTTCTGGAGGCTTAAAGAATATAGAGCACTACCTAATGGCAAAGGAGTAATTTTTTAAAAAATATTATTTATAAATGTAAATATAACTGTATAAATATATAAATGTACTTAGGCTACAAGGCAATAATTTAACAGATAACTGGTTTCAAGGGACAGCTCCGTTACTGACTGATGAAGCACCTCATTTCAGAAAATTGAATTAGTTGCTCTCAAGGATTTTCTCTGCAAATCAAGAAATTATTCATATTATTTTCTGCTGTTATATTTTCTATTCTAATAAGAATTTCAGAAGAAACACCGCAAGGAAATAAGGCAGAAGACTGGTAAGCTTGAGCAGAGAGATTTCAAATGCTTAATGCAACATTTTAAAATCACTTCCAAACTCAAGTCTTCCCTCAAAGCATTTTTAATTAATAATGATAAATTACACCATTGTTAAGCTGCAACAGTAAGAATACTATTTAACAACTAACAGTGGCAGCATCAAGTTTTGCCTTCTTTGGAGCACGGATCTGTACAAACACGTGCTCCGATTCCCAAAAGCTGCTCGGTTATATGACATAAGCTCTCCTTACTACTTAAAAAAATAAACAAATATGGCCAAACCATTAAATACTTTCATAAAACTACTTTTGAATTTGGACACATTTGATTGAAATTAACAAGGCAATTCCCACTTTAGTGGCACGAACTACTACACCAAAACATACACAATACTATTAATACATTAAAACACTTGGAAATTGGAACAGATGCCCAGGAATGAAAAAAAATACCAGCAGTACCTGTGAGCTTAATTTTGGACAGACGGGCCAAAATTCCCGGCAAGTCATCCAGCTGCAGCTTCATTTCTTTCCACTGCCTGTCTTCTTTGGATGCTGCTCCCAGGGAGGTGCCCGAGCCTTCCAGCCCTGCAGCCGCCACCGCTTCCTTGGGCTCATTTCTGGGCCCGGTTTCGGGCCAGGGTGCAGGAGCAGGGGAAACGGGTCCAATCCTGTGGATAACCGTTTTTTCTCGACCTACTTGTCGGCTCTCGTGAAAAGGAGGCGCAACTGAATCCGACTTGGGTTTCACCCGTTGGCTGAGGTCCCTGTTGTGTAGCGTCACATACTAGACAGGATGAGAAATGTTAACATAAACAGGTGAGAAGCTGTTTCTGCCCATTTTTGATTACTATTAATACTAATATTATGGCTATATTGTTCTTAAGAGAATTTTTTTTCTATGCTGATGTTTATGTAATCTGAATTTCAAACACYTCCTTTGCCAAAAAGGGCTCTGAAATGGCACAAGGTACAGACAAGGCAGCTCTGTACTTCCCAATTACAGCAATAAYTGAAGAAATCTTCCTAGCACAATTATTCCTTCCCTTGTAGCTTCAACTGCAAACATCCCTTTCTCAGACTGAGAGCCACCACCCAACGTCATGTAGGCTACAACCCATTACCTCACATTCACACCCCTGCCCATAAAAAACCCAGGCTCCAAAACACTACGTGTTTTGAGCCCTTGTAAAACATGGGGGAAATGAAAAAATAGCCAGAAAAGAGAATCCAYTTCCTAGATGCAAAATCATCTCCACGAGCCACCAGCCACCCCAAACTTCACRTTAGTTTACTAGAATTGATGGTTTTTTTTACGGTGGTTACAAGGAGCAAATATTGCATGGAAAGTTATGAGGTTTTTTTCTGCTCTTTTAAGTCTCTTGTAGGATAAAGTAGGGAAGAAAAAAAAGAGCACTTGGCTTCTTCTAACGTTCAATWTTCTTCCCTATATACATGTGTTTATACATGTATGAAATATCGAGCACAACAGACGAGCACAGAACCGTGTTGCTTTGGGGAAACGATGCACTGCAGTGTGCACAACCCCATTATCAGGCGGAGGCGGAGGGATGTGAAGCCTGTCGGCTCTGACTGACGCGAGCGGGGCCCAAACCGGCAGCTGGATGAGGTTCTGGGATGCAGCGACCTCCATGCAGAAGATCCCACCGCCTCCTGGCCCAAACCCACCCCACACGCCACCAAAACGCCCCGGGTCTTGTGCTCCGTGTGGGCGCCAGCGGCCAGGCTTGGTC